GAGTGTGTGATTGGATTTTGTCTTTTTACTAATCTTCCACCGAATGCTATTGCTAAATTTCTTCTTATTTGTCTCCTCTTGCCAGTGCAAGGGTTTTGTGGCTGGTGATTCAGAACTTTAGTTGTCAGTTTTCATTAGAACTGAAAATGGTCTGCTCTAATGTGTTGAGCTGCTTACTACTACTTCTTGTCAAGCATGCTCATAGTAAGCTGTCAGTGAGTATGCTGCAGTTCCAGGAATGACTGTTAAAAAAAAAAAAAAAAAAAACAGCCCCAAAATACTTCCTGGTGCCATCATCTTCCTTTGGCAAACTGAGTAAAAACTGTCCAGATATTAAAGCCTGCATTGCTTTATTTTGGGGAAAGTGATCAAATATTTTTGTCTGAAGATGTCTTTGCTCATTCTGCACCAAAACTCACCTTGCTTTTTCTGTTCAGCTCTTTTCTTTTGTTTGACCTAATAAATTAACCAGCCTGTATAAATGGGAGAGTTGCTTCTGTCTTCAAATCTGTGACTACTTCTTTCACAGTTAAGAGTGTCCTCTGGTTTTGGTTTTAAGTAATTTTGCTTCTCAGTTATATTTCAGCATTTCTTTTTGTTGTCTTACAGAGTCTCTTCAGTTCAGCCCTTCCCCATTGCTTCATATACTTGCTATATCTGTACAGCTCTTTTTTTCACAGAATCTTAGAACAGCCCAAGTTGGAAGGGACTTCAGAAGATCATCTGGTCCAACCTTTTGTGGGAAGGGGAGCCCAGATGAGATTATCTAGCATGCTTTCTGGCTGCATCTGCAGTAAAATACAGCACAGATCTTCCTCATGACTATTCCATATTTCTGTAGAAAACTAGAATAATATTTCAGGACAGAATGAGTGACTTAATTTTCTCTAATATCGCCCATAGTATACTACTGACACAGGACTATCTGAAATAATGTAAAATTATATGTCATCACACTAGCGTAAAAGAGGAATCGGTTGCTGTTAAACAGTGTTTACAGTAGCCCTGCATTTGTTAGCTGGAAGCAATGATGCTCATGGCAAACACACAAGACCAGGAGGGTACTGCCCATATTGCTGAGTTAGGAATGAGTTCCTTTAAATTGGCTTTCAGGTTGCATAGCTGGTTGCAATTACTGGAAGTGAAGTCAGGGAGCAGATGTTTCCAATGGATGTTCTTATGACCACTGGGGAAGGTGGAAAAGAAACTATAGTACATTTACTAATGTATTAGAAAGATATGGCTAGTGTTTTATTTCCACCAGGAGAAAAATAAGCCTGAAAATTTACTCTCCTGTTTTCGAATCAGTTGAGCTCTTGATCCCTTTTGCAGTTCTGGTTGGTGTAAAGTTTTGGGAAGGAAAATAATTAGAATTTTAACTTCTTGTAACTGTCTGGTGTGTAGAGTTTGTTTACCACTTGTTTGATGGGAACGAGCTCTAACATGATTACTGAAACAGTAGGGCACAGTGATTGCTCAGTCAAACTGCTAGGTAGCCAAAGATGATGTTCCTCTTTCTGAAGCATGAAGTACATCTTAATTTTTGAATTAAGCTGCTTGTACAGAGAAAGTTAAATAGGTGGCATGGAGGGAGCACTTCATAAAGCCAAGGCCAGTAAGTTGTGCTTGCATGGCATGAGCAAGGTGGCAAGTCATTCCCGTTCTTGCTGAAACGAGGCCACCAGAACTCTGTGAAGAATTGACCTTTGCATGTAAACCTGTGACACAGCAGAAAAGACGGGCCCTCATATTTCTGTTTTTCTTTGCTTTTACAATGAGTAGTGTGTGTGACATGGAAAACTGTCGCTAAGCATTTTTGAGTTACTACATGTGCGTGCATGCAGTTTACTTTCTCATACTGAATATTGATTATATTAAATTTTAAGCCCGAATACTTTAGCTGTTAAGTAATACCATTATGTAAGCCTGGAGTTCTGACCAGCTCTGAGTTTCTGAAGCAGCCAGGCTGCCGATAGTACAGTGTGTCTGTACTTTTCAACAGGTTATATTTGTTTATTTTGAAACTGATTTGAGTGAAGGTAGCATATTTGGGTTTTTTCCCATGAGGGCATGATAAGCACAGCCCAGCTCTCTGTTTCCAAAGCTGAATTCAGCTTGTGCTGGAGAGTCGATAAACATACCTCCTGTATTTCCATAAGCTCTGGGAAGATAGACTTTGTCTTACCAGAGAGAGAGGGGGAAGAATAGTGACACGCTGCCTGCACACCATGTGCTGATCTCTTTCTAATTAGAAGCATTGAGATGAGCTGGAGGCTAGCCTATCTCTCTTTAGCATGTGAAAATTTGATGATGTTGTTTATAGACTTCCAGGGCTGTCAGAGTTGTGCCTCTGCACGTGAGCCAAATGCTGGAACAAAAAGCCATCAATGGGGACTAGGAAGGCAAAGATAGAGGATGGAAAGTGATGAGGGGCAGGGGAGACTGACAGAAGTTGAAGGAGTTGAAAGTGAGAGTAATAAAAAGAGGTTTTGTGGAGGGGAAAAGAGTTATGAATTGAAAAAAAAAAAAAATTAGGAAAGGAAAACTGAGTGAAACTCCTTGCCCTGTTGTGCTTTTCTTTGAAGAGCAGACAACTTAACATATTAGTTAAAATGTAGAAACACAAATTTTGTAACTTGTGTTTGTAAACAAAGAAAGAAAAGCCAGTCCCTAAATTGTTCAGAACCACTTTTACCACAGTTTGGTTCTGAAAATCCGTTTAATACCATCTCAGGTAACACCTAGGTTTGTGGTCATATACTAGCTGCCCTTTAGCCTAAAATCCTAGTTTTGATTAAAAAACTGGTGTTTGCTTAGAGATTCAGTGTGTTTTCACCACCATGTCAGGAGACTAGTAAATGATAATTATTATAATTTGTAGTAAATGATAATGACTAGGGCAAGGAATTTGGGACTCTGAAGTAGTGTCAACTGCATACCTTCTGTCCATGATGGGTGGTGGGTCCCACTGAAAAGGAAATTTTGTTTTGGATAAAGTTATAGATTCTTTTCCTCAAAGTAGTAAAACTTCTGAGTATCTTGTAAAACTGCAAAGGGATCTGTGACGGCATTACACTGAGTCTCTTGGGAACTTAAGGTTGTATTTGAAAATGTAAAAATGTGTTCAGGGGAGCAGCTGAGTTGCTGAGCTTTTTAGTTTTTTTTTTTAAGCTTTCAGTATACCTTCTCATTCATGATCTGTCTAGGTTGTTAATACCATGTTTAGATGCTTCGGACTACGTCATCCCTGGATGGTTTAAAAGATGAAACGTCACCACAGTGGCTGCATTACCTTGGATTTTATGACAAGCTTTGTTTCCAGACATACATGCAAAGCTCCTTACATCATTACTTAATTTTACATATTTTATTTCACAGTCCAATCTGAATCTGGTTGTGCCAACGTTGTGTCTGCAGCTCCCTGCCTGGCGGAGCCACAGCAATATGAAGTACAATTTGGACGATTACGCAATTTTCTCACAGGTAAATATCAGGAAGCAAGGAAGAGGAAAGTAGCTAATTTTTTGTCATTTCAATGAGTAAAGAACAGTATAATAAAATTAAAAATCATGTCTCTAACAATCTTTTGATTTCTAGTTTTGATAGTTACTACAATTAGAAATATTTGATTTTTCTTTTTCTTTCCCCTTCTTTTTTTTGTTTCCTGAGCGCTGAGTACCTTTGACTTTTGTAGATAGCTCTTTGCCCTTTCTTGTTCAAGCATTTGGCCTTTGTATATGTGTAGATCTTCTAGATAACATCATACATAGACAGGACAAGAAGGAAGATGAGAGTCTTATGTGAAAGGCAGGTGACTTAGAAATGAATGTAGTTCTTTGCTGTCTCCTAGGTTGGGGTTTTTATTGGCTTCTTTTTATGATGGTCTGAATTTTTAAGGGAGAACTTGTTCCCTTAAATTTACCTGTATGGCTTCGAGACTGGAGGTATATGACAGAAAGGAAAAAAATTCTTGTTTGATGCAGAAGACAATCATGATTGAAAAAAAGGAGGACACTTGGGAATGTCCTTATTTCTTCTATGAGTCCCGAATCTGTGAAGAAGAAAACAGATAGGATTTTTAGATAATAGTACCAAGGAGAGTGAGGTTGACACTCCTCCCACCTTTGGGAGCATCTACATTTTTCCAGTGTAGGGATTTGATCCCAGTGTGCATAACACTAGCATTAATATTCCTGATGGTTGTTGAAAGGAAAGGGAGGGAGGCAGGCAGGAAGGCAGAGGCATAAAATAATGCCTTAGTCTTAGGCTTGCCACCTATAGCAGTTCAACACCATTGCACTTTAGTATTGAGGGTAAATCCTTATCATTTAATAGATTTTTGATAAGTATGACTGCTCTGTTCAGTGGCTTAAACATCACTTGGGCAAGTGCTAGGCATGGTTTTGGTGTTCCTGTTGAGACTGCATCTTTTTTGTCCCTCATGCTCAATTTCGATTTCTTACCCCCTTGAAGAAACAGAAGCAGTTCATGCGTGTGGCTTGGCAGCCAGCCACAAGGCACAGCTGGACACTTGCCATGTCTGTGATGCCTGCCCCCAGGGGCACTGAGGAGTGGGCAGGGGACTAGGACTGCTGAATGATGTAGGAATCACTCTAGAGATCTCTAGTTCAACCTGCTGCTCTCAAAGCAGGACAAGGTCAGAGTTTGGTCAGGTTGCTCAGGTCCTTGTCAAGCCAGGTTTTGTAAACCAAAGCGTGGAGATTGCATTACCTACACCTCTGGGTCACAGCTGCAGGGCTGAGAGATTTGGTGTGCACTTGCAGCATCTTGCTTGCTGTCTTTTTGCTGACCACCTCAGAGAAGAGGCCAGCTTCTTTTCCTCCATAATGTCCAACTGGGTACTGAAGGCAGCAGTTCTACCCCCTTAATCTTGTGCAGGGTAGACAGATCCAGTTCCCATAACCTCTCTTCATACGTTAATGGGGAACATTTTCTTTGTTGCTGTCTCTGCCACCTTCCCATCTCTTCCCTTTTTTCCCCACTGCAGTATGAGGCCTTTCCCTTGTTGCATTTCTGGACTAGAGCACTTCCAGAAAAAAGAGCAGCTGCTAACTGCTTTTACTATGTACAGACCCACTGGTTTCACTGGCTTTGGCCCAGTTTCAGTGAGACAGAAAGGAGAATGATGCCTAAGTACACAAATATGTATGTATACACTGCACACCACACACACGCTCTGTCGTTACTCATATAGAAATGGCAGAGAGGTACTGTATGGCTTGGGTGCTCAACAGGAGAGGAAAAATAGCCTAATGGAAAGGGAAAAGAGCATGCGCTGGTGAGTGGCAGGAGGCGAGAACAATCTGAAAAGAAGCAATGCTCTTTGAAGACTAGCAGTGCTGTTTGAGGATCAGCAATGCCTATTTTGTTCCAGTAATTTGGACCATTTGGGCCTCCAGTAAGTCATTGTTGTGGCCCTGTACGCTGCCATGGTGTTGTACGGGAGGGCTCTGCTCCTCGCAGCTCCCTGCAGCCGGCAGAATGTGGGAGGGAAACAGCCCCAAGAAGCTGCTGAAGGAGGGAGGGGTGGAGCTCTTGCACAGATTAGTCTCTGCAAGGTACAGCACAGCCTAATCGGGAGTTTGTTACACTGTGTACTAGGAATTACTGCTGGGATTTGCCTTGGCAGAGAGAGGGGGAGAGAGAGAGAAAGCATGCACACGAGCAGGCACAGAAATAAAACAAGAGCACAGCATATTGCAGTACGTTTTGGAAACTGGCTTCCTTTCCCCCAGAGACAAATCAGTTCCATCTGAAGCACCACATGCCAGTTTTATTGAAGCTGAGAGGGAAAAAAAAGCCACCAAAGTTCAGGCCCACACAAGCTAGGTAAATAATTTTGCCTTAAGCACATTAAATGGTATTTTAAATACAATGAGTAAATTTAAAGTCCAATTATTGCAATAAACAGAGGACATAGTTTTTCTTTTCAAATAGATAGGGGAAGAATTCAGCTGTCATGTCGTTTGAGGTGGTATTTTAATAGCTAGCCCACACCGAAAAGGGTTTTGAAATCTATGCATTTTGTTCTGACAACACACCTCACTGACTTGAAAATCTCTCTTTGGATCTGTAATAGGTACTGTGTATCCCCTTTAGGTGACAAAAGAGGTTCACTTAGATGCACCAACAAGAGTCTCCTCCTGCTTGCTCTCTGATGCCACTGTCAAGGCTTTTTTTCAGTAATTGTCCTTGCTCTGTTTTATTCCCAGCAGAAAGGGGATTGAGAAATCATTCAAAGTTTCTTGCTGTTTTTATGTAGATTCAGATTCTCAGCACAGCCATGAAGTGATGCCTCTTCTGTATCCTCTCTTCGTCTACCTCCATCTGAACATGGTCCAGAATGGCCTAAAAAGCACAGTGGACAGTTTTTACAGCCGCTTCCATGGCATGTTCTTGCAGAATGCCAGCCAGAAGGATATCATTGAGCAGTTGCAGACTACCATGACTATTCAAGATATCCTGTCCAACTTGAAGCTCCGGGCTTTTCTGGACAACAAGTACGTCATCCGCCTTCAAGAGGACAGCTACAACTACCTTCTTCGCTACCTCCAAAGTGACAACAACAACGCCCTGTGCAAAATCCTGACCTTGCACATTCACCTGGATGTGCAGCCCGCCAAGAGGACTGACTACCAGCTGTACGCCGGTGGGAGCTCCTCGCGCAACGAGAGCAACGGCCTGGAACCTAGCGACGTGCCGGCTTCCATTCTGCAGAACGAGGCAGCACTGGAGTTACTGCAGGACAGCATTAAACGTGTCAGGGATGGGCCCCCTTCCTTAACAACCATCTGTTTCTATGCCTTCTATAACACAGAGCAGTTGCTCAACACTGCAGAGATTTCACCAAATAGCAAGCTGCTTGCTGCTGGGTTTGATAATTCGTGTGTGAAGCTGTGGAGCCTGCGTTCCAGGAAGTTAAAATCTGAGCCCCACCTCGTTGATGTGTCCCGCATCCGCCTGGCTTGTGATATTCTGGATGAGGAGGTCAGGATGCCCTTTTTTTCCCTCCTGCCTTTTCTGCTGCCATATTTTGGGCTTGCATTGTGGAGTATCTAGTAATGTCCTAGGGGATTGGGAGGCTGTTCAACAACTTGTCTGCCTTGACACACAAATTTCATAGCGCACTCTCAGCCTTGTTCTTTCCTGCAGTAGTTGTAAATGCTGCACTGAGGTGCAATTAGTTTGTGCTTGGGTCATAGTTTCTTAGTCCTAGGTGCTGATCTCCCTCCTCCAGCTGTCCTTGAACAGGTGACGGTACACCGGCAGCCTGTTAAGGACAGGTGACTAGAAAAGGCTCCTTTCCCTGAGGAGCATGGAGCCTTCTTATGGATGGGAAGATGAAACAAGGAGATGTGGGCAGTAAAAACAGACTGTGGTGAAGGAAAACTAGAAGGAAAGCAGCTCAGAACAACCACTCAGAATGACAGAGGTGCAGGAAGAGGAAAATAAAGACAAAGTAAGGAAAGAGCCAAAGGAGGCTGGTCTGAGGCTTCAGGAAGAAGGAGGGATGCCTAAGTGCAAAACTGTATTTAAGGAATCACCTTAACCAGAGGTGAAAAGTTAGCATGGAAAAAATATGAAAAATGTCTGTTAAGGAATCTGCGGTGTAGAAACTTCAGAGGCTTCCTGCTCTGGAGTGTTGGAGACAGGGACAAGGATGTGTGTGCCTTCACACACCAGGCTAGATAGCATCTTCTCGTTTACTTTTCTTTTGCTTTCTAGTCACGCCCTTCCCACATAGCATCTTGTATCTAATTAGAGATCAGAGTTTGTGACTCTTCCTTTGTTTAATCACTCCTCTCTTGAGGGGGGGTGGGGAGGAGAGCATGTCATTTGCCATACCTAGTGGCAGGGGCCAGTTGATTTTGGAAGAATGCAGAGAGCTTGCTGTATGCAGGGATCTGGTTAGGGATTGCTTTGTTAGTCAGCTTGAGAACCAGAGGCAGGCATCCAGGTGAGAGAGCACAGTGGCATGCTCACAGCTCTCCAGGTTAACCCTTTCTGCAGAGTGAGCAGGTAAGTGGGTCAGAATAGCCCAAGATGGAGCTATGGACTTGTTTTCATTATAAGCTGCAAGAGTTTGTAGGACACATGACTGTGTGTATTGCCTGACGTGGAAACCAAGTGTCAATAACCTGTGACAGAGGAGAATTTCTCTGCTAAAACAGCAAGTCACCTCCTTTGGCTCCAGACTGTAGAAAAGTGAGATATTGCAAGGTTATCAGGAGTGTGTATTAGCTTTTTTTTTTTTTTTTTTGGCACGTAGGCACATACTTGCGTATTGCACACGTATTATGAAATTGCTGCAGAAGCTCAAGTACAAATGGCTTATGTTGGCTGTTTATTAGTTTGTGTATCCTGCAGTATTTATGCACAGGTCTAAACCAAAAAACCGCTAGAAGACCAGCACAGATCAAAATCATCATTGCCATGAATAACTTCACCACTGACAAAACAAATAATGTCCTGACCAGGAGTTCAAAGTTAAGGGGGTATAGCAGCCCAAATGCACTGCTGGTTACAAGTCCCAAATGTAAATTAGAGGCTACTGACTACAAAGGAAATCAATTGCAGTATCTGGGAGCCCTAAGTGAAAAAACACAGGCACCCCCTGGGTTGCAGGTGGGAACAGGTCAGTGCCCACTTGGGTGCCATGGGAGTACAAGCCACAAGTACTAAGACCAAACAAGACCATCCTGACCGGGCTGCAGTCCATCAGTAATGCAGCTCAGTGTGAGCAGGGCTTTCAGACTGTCACTGCAGTATGATCAGCAACAATTCACAGTGATAAATCTGATGAAAACTTTGACAAAGACCAAAAGTTCTGAATGGGCTTTGACATTACTTCACTGGACTTAGATGGATGTTAAACTTGGCTAGGTTTTGTAAGGTTTCCAATTTTTTTTGTTTTGGTTGATTCCTGTATTGTGTAATTAGCTTTGGATACCGTATTTAAATAGTAGTGCCTGAAATAACTAATCTTAAGCTTAGTTTATGATTTTCTATGAGCAAATAGGTCCTTCTGTTTATGAAGATACAGAGGTCTAAAACTGCTAGTTTCAGTGGACCTTGTTCAGGGTGGCACTAAAAATACACCATTGGGCTTTTTGTCTGTATATATATATAAATATAAATGAGGTTGAGACTTGGCAAAAGTGTTAGAGAATCACATTTTTTCCTAGTCCATGTAAGCCTTTGTGTCATCTGCTAGGTGTAGTTTTAGTGACTTGCTCAGTGTGATGCCCCAGTAGACTTCCCTAGTGTTGTCTTGCTTCTTGGAAATAGGAGAGGCTTACTATTTTGGGATAAAGTAATTCTGTTTTCTTTATAGTAGCATCTCACAAGTCTCACTTTATAGTTTCCCTTACTTAAGGTCCAGCGTAATATGCAGTTTTGCAGCTGTGCATATGGACTTATTGTTTGTTTCTTTGCAATTTTGCTATGCTCATCACTGCTACTACATGAATCGACAACAGAAAATAATACCCTATGTTCCAAGCCACGAGAGTGGCAGCCTTTAAATTCTGTGAAGACTGAGACTTGACCCCATTCAGCCCTGCTTCTAAGATTCTGCTTTTAAGTGGCAGTGGTCCTTCAAGTGATAGTGAGTGAGGATGATGCTGACACCTTGATGGATGGCAGATGGGAGGGAATTCAGGAAGGAGGAGTAAGAAATGTCCTGCAAAGAGAGCCATGGTATCTACTTCCCTCATCTTACCTGCTAGGAGATCCCTACTGTAGGCAGGTAAGAGATCTTCCCTTTTGACATCGTAAGAGTGCTGCAGGAGAGACCCATTACTAGTTAGGGAAAACAAAGAGGGGGGGCAGGGTGAGATTTGTTATGTTTTGTTTTTTCTTGAGGTTATAGTTGCTGCTTTTTGAGGCTCACTCATTCCCTTGAAGTTTATGCTGATAATTTTTGTCAGCTAGATAATGTTTGCTGCTCACAAGGTTAAATGCATTGACAGTAAGTTTTTCTGGGTCCAGATGACTGTCATGCAAATTCCATTACTGATTTAAGTAACAGCTGAGGAGTTGGACAGTCTGTCCATAGGTGTATCGTTTGGAAAGTGTCTTGTGTAACAAAACATGCCAACATTTTTGTTCTTTTCAGTTTCTTATGTAATTTTGGGGAGTCTTATACTGGCTCAGGAAGATTTCCTGTTCACTGTTTGAAGAGTAAATTATTTTTTAGCACATTTTAGTGGTGTTGGTAGTTTTTCCAGTTCTATTACTTGAGATCTGTTTTGATAGTTCTTTTCAAAATGGATAGTACAAATAATAAAAGGTAGCTTCTAGCATGTGTGTGTGTAGTTTACTGATTATAATAGGCTTATATAACTTAATTTCTTGTCCATTCCAAGGGAAAGCAAATTGTTCATGCTAACCTGCAGCAGCACCCACTTCAGACGGAGCTAAGGGATGTCTGGTTAGTGCCCAGGGGCATGTTATATCCAGAAAAAATATCCAGTGTCTGAAACTGGAATCCTGAAAAAAATATTCTGAAGAAGGATTCCCTGCCTCTCTGCTGATCTATAACACAGGTTGCAAACCTTTCTATAGCTGCTGTAAATGCTTGCCTGGATGGTAGTAGCTGTGGGATGCAAGGAAGAGTGTGCTTGATGTGACATAGAAGTGAAGCTTGGTTCTGCAGGGCAGTAATTTAGTGGCTGCACTTCCAGCTGCTTTGTTCATCTGGTCGGCAGACTAACTTGGAGAGGGAGGAAGAGGAAAATTTAGTGACTCAGAAACATTATATCGGGTTTGGTGAGCTATAACAGCAGTGTGCAATTGTTATGCTAAGTGGGTGTCAAACAGAAGTCGAAGATTTGCTACCTGTGACTGTAAGAGTGTGGGTTTGAATGTTGCAGAAGGCACTGTCAAATAAGCTGCTACTGTAATACAAGAAGAGTAGGTGCTTATAAGAGAAAGAGTATGTGCTTGCAGACAGCCCAAGTAGCCCTGTATTAATTTGAAGGCATAGAATTGGGTACCTGGACTTGCAGAATTTACAGAAACTATAGTACAATATAGGTAATTTGAATGGGCTTCTACTGGTTAACTTGTCAGGAATCTTATGGTCATAATTAAATAGTATAAAATGCTGCAGGGATCAGCCTCTCTCCTTTAATGTGGTAACATAGCCTAGAGATGCTGTGGATTCCAGCAAGCAATGCTCTATCTGAGGTAGAAAAAGCAATTTGAATAAAAATGGGGCTTTGCATGCCAGAGCCTGCAATTTCTCTCTGCCTCACCTCTGTAGTAGAGATGAAGTTGGCTCCCAGCCACATCAGAAAACTCACATAGGCATTGACTGCTCTGAAGAGAATTGGCATTGCTAAACACGGCTTGCCGCTGACCACGAAAAACGCAGTTGAGATGGAGAAAAGCAGTGAGCTGGCTATAAAGAGTTTGCTCACCTCTGATGTGAGACTTGAAACCCCCTGGAGAAGGGCTTTCAGGACTATTGGTAGCTCTGAAGCAAAACTGTCTGTGGGTCCTGAGGTCAGAGGGATGGGAGATACTGTGTCAGCCAAGAGACCTGCTCATGATGTGCTGACTTCTGCTGGTCATCGGCAGTCCGGCAGCCCTGGGGAATTGAGTTTCCTCTCAGGGCAG